AAATGCTAAGATATCTTACAACATTGCTAATCGTGACTATATGATGACCCATGCCCGTCCCTTTTTACATCCAAAGATATGGTTTCTTACCAAATAATTGGTAAGATAACAATGTCAAAGGAAAGAGGAAATAAACATGAAAGACTTTTGAGTAGGTAGAATGTTCCTAGTTGCTTGCTCATTTTCAAACCAAAAACATCCTTGTTATTTTCAAAACAAACACCAACGCTTTCAAAAACATCTTTCAAACTTGAAACATTTTCAAAAGATCAACACTTTGTATACATTCTTATGAACAAGAATCATTACAAAGTTTTCCTAAACGATGGCGCCTTTTCAAAATCCTTTCAAAAACCACACAAAGCACATTTTCAAACAAAAGCAAGTGATCTAGCAAGAAACTAAGAGCCCATAGATAACTATAGATGAAAAGGGTGCTAATACCTTTCCTTTTCATAATCTACCCCCCGAACTCAAGAAAACATCTCAAAGGTCTTTCCTGTTCTTTTCAACCTTTCCTTTTTGATAAAAGAAAAGTTGGTGGCGACTCTTGCTAACCGTAACATTTTTGATCAAACGCAAAACGACCAAGTGAGTTCTCCCACCGCGTTACACACATGCTTAACCTACAAGATCAGAAGAAGTATGTTTAAAGTGTTCAACCACTTTAGAAGGCATAGTACAAGCATTGGAACTATGTTCTTCAATGTTTCTTCAAAATTAAGTAACCTAGCCATAACATGTGAACTCTTGAATATGATGTTCTCCTTCCCTCAAACATTTCCTCTATAAATAGAGAGCTTATTTATAATCCAAGACACGAATTGACAAGCCTTGAAATACTCATAAACTCCCTGAAACTCAGAATTGCATCAAAACCTTAATTTCTTGTCATTTCTGACTTTGAACACCAAATTCAAAATCCACTCGTGAGTTTTCCCTTTTAATCAATCAAACATCATCTATACACCATATAGAAGTGATCTAAACCCTTGAACCACTTCTGTAATCTCTCCATCATCATCCACCATTTTCAAAACTCAGCTCTGCAACTTGACTTCTCCAGGAAGATTCATCCACTTTCAGCACAAAGTAAGAGTTGCATTAGCTTCCTAGGAGTTCAATGAAGCTATCCAGATCATCACAACACTTCCAGGAGTGCTCAAACTCCAAACACGATTTCCAGTTTTGAGGTAAGTTTTCTCAACTTTGAACTCTCTCTACAAGCATCATTAATGGTTACTTTGTGAATGAAAAATGTAGACATTATTGCCCTGAAGCTAACCATGCCTTTAGTTTTTATTTATGTTGCCTGATTGATGCGAATTTTGAAGTTGAACATTCTGAAAAAATTATGTTTTATTTGGTACCAAACAAAATTCATGTTCATCTTTGATCTATAGCTTTAGTTATTACATGGATTAATTCGTGTTGAAAAATGGAATAACTTTCATGTTTACACTTTTGAAAATGTCTGAGAAATGAGCAAGTTCAGAAATTTGAAAATGTTGACAATGGTTTCTGGCGCGAGGTTAGGGATGAAGTGCCATTCAGAAGCAAGTTTATTTTAAGTTTATTGCAACATATATTATGACCGGATGAAACAACCACCCCAGTAGCAGAGGAAGAGTGCGTAAGACATTAGTGTATAGAGACCTGGGTTCGAGCCCCAGTGGTACCCTTTTATTTGTTTCACATTTATTTATTTCAGATTTAATACAATCATGTACAAGGAGCATACATTATTCCTCTCATCCACACCACGTGATCATCATGCAACCAGATCCAACACTCTACAAAGCAAGTGCATGATGCACCTCCAAAGGGTTGGTCACACATGATCAAAACAGGCGCCAGACTCCTTAGTCATGGGCCTCCTTCCTTTTTTGTTTTTGCTAAATTTTCACCCCCAAATCACTCATAATAGTGTAGACCCATTTATCTTTTTTTATTTTATTTTTGTTTTCTGACTCAAACAAAAAAATATGTTTGGGCCTTTTTGCTAATTTTTAACCCCCATTTTTCTTTTAACATCCCAGCCCATTTACTTTCATTTCTTTTTTATATTTTCATTATTTTTATTTATTTATTTAAACCAAAAATACAAAAATATATTTTTCTTGAATAATTAGATTTAAAATATTTTAATTCATTTTTTTTATTTTATTTACTTCATTTTTTCAAACAAATAAAACCTCAAAAACTATATCTTAGATAATTAAATCAGACTTAGGTTTTATTTACTTAATTTCAATTAACTTAGATTTTAGGTTTTGATTAAATAATTAATTAGCTTCTCTTGTAATTAAAATTAATTAGTTTAATTAGATTAATATTTAAACCTTCTCCATCAAAAAACCCTAAAAACAATTTTCTTCTCCTTCTTTACATTTTGTACATTTTATTATTATTCATGATTCAAAGGTTTGTAATAGATAATTAGAGTTTATTGTTTTCTTCCCCCTATTCACAAAACTTGTACCCCTTATTCCCAAAGCGTTGTAATAACGTAGGATATTTAAATTTCGCAATTTATCGCTTTCCTTATTATTGATAGTAATTAGAGTTTGCATGACAAGACTTAAAACCAATCCTAGCAAAACCCTAATCCAAAGATAAAATACTTGAAAATAAAACACTTTGCACACATGTACCTCTAGGATAACCCATACTTGTTGCCTCGGATATAAACAGTCATGTCCCTCGAACGTGGGATGTTTTAGCAAAGAGCCTCGATTAAAAGATCGTAGTCCCTCGATGACCCTTCGATGTTGCCTTCAATAAACGATCTTAGTCCCTTACGACAATTGCTAAAACATCTTACAAGTTGCCTTCTATGACTGTACGATGACCCACGCCCGTCCCTCACATCTAATGATATGGTTCTCTATAAATCAATGGTAAAGCAACACTATCTAAAAGAGGAGGAAAAGAACAAAGACTTTTTTGAGTAGATAGATTGCTCGTAATTGCTTGCTCACAAGCAAAACCATTTCCACACTTCACACTTTCAAAACAATTTCCAAAACAATTTCCAAAACAAACATTTTATATACATTCTCAACGATACGAGAATCATTACAAAATTGCCTTACATTAGCATCTTTAAAACATCTTTCCAAACATTCCCTTTCAACAAATATTTTCAAAACCAACACTTTGTATACATTCACAACGATACAAGAATCATTACAAAATTTTACAAACTAAACATTTCAAAGTTAGCTAGCAAATTAAGAGCCCGTAGATAACTACGGATGAAAATAGTGCTAACACCTTCCCTTTTCATAACCTACCCCCGAACTCAAGAAAATTCTCAAAAGGTCTTTCCTGTTCTTTTCACCCTTTCCTTTATTGGATAAAAGAAAAGTCAGTGGCGACTCTTGCTATCTGCAATATTTGCGATAAAATGCAAAAACACCAAAGTCAGTTTTTCCACCGTATTACACCGTCTCTGTAATTCTGCACGAGACCGGCCATGTCAACGTAGTTACTTTTGTTGTTGTTGTTGTTGTTGTTGTTGCCCATGTTGTCGACGACGTTGTTATTGGGGTCGACGAGATGGGCGTCTAGGTTGTTATTGGCAACTAGGTCGGCCATGACAATCAAAAGAGTTTGAAGAATTGCTTTAGTCTAGGATTAGTGAAAGACAGAGAAGCTTATTTCCCACAAACGACGCCACTTGATCGTACCTGACCAGAGTGGATCGTCAAGGCCTACGAGCTGTGAGTTGAGCAGCAACTGGAAGTGAGTTAGGGGATACCTGCAAGACATTCCGATGCCAAAGTAAGGTTCAGAGCAGTGCGAGTAAGTGTGAGAGTGAGTATGAAAGAATGAATCTCTGACTCTCTCAAGAAAGAGGATATTTATAGCCCCCAGCGCTGGACCAAGGTCCCCATTGTTGGGCTGAGCAAGCAGGCTCAAAACGGAGACTGCCAGGTTCTACGTGAGTAGTGGGGCCAACACGTGGTCCCCAACCTGGATGAATTCCCCCGAATAGTCAGGAGGATATGAATGCGATCTTTTCGGAACCAAGAAGACTCTGTGATATCCGGGGGTGTGGTGAGTCAACCCTACGAGGAGGGTGTTCGCGATGTCTTTGTGTCGTCGTGGGCCCTTCCCGCCAACTGTGGGGTTGTCCAAGGGGCCTTGTCTTGGTCGACGAGAGGAGTGGAGGATGCTCATGAGGTCCTCTTGACCGGCGCCGAGCCTTCTCGTGATTCCTTGACTTATCCACGTACGGCAAAACCATATTTTTCCGACGCGTGAGGTTACTGCTCGACATAGTTGATGGCAAGTTCGGTCAGCAGGCATACTCGAGCAACATAGTTGAATTGAGCCAAGTGCAGAATCAGTCCAAAACAATATATATATATATATATATATATATATATATATATATATATATATATATATATATATATATAAAATAAAATTTTATTATGATGATAAAAATTTATTGTTATTTAGCATTTAAAATCAGTTTTTAACTTTTAAATGTGAAGATGTTTTTAAATTAAGATACAATTTAAAAAAAAAATAATTATAATTTGTTAATTTAAAAATTAATAAAATTTTAATTAATTAGATAGAATCTTCTAATTTTAGTTACGATTTAATATTTTACGATTTTGATATCTCTAGTTAATCCTATCAAATAAATTGAATAATAACAAAAATATGAAATTATTGATCAAAATGTTAATATTGAATAATAACATGAATATAAAATTGATCAAAATATTAATATTGAATAATAATATGAATATAAAATTACTGATCAAAATATTGAATAATAATATGAATATAAAATTACTGATCAAAATATTGAATAATAATAAAAATAAATTTATTATTTATTTTAATATTTTTATAAATAATATAAAAATAAAAATAATATTAAAAAACAAGTATACGAATGTCCGTGCAAAGACACCAATTACCCACTAGCACATATTTATTTACCTTGAAAGGGCAACTGAACATTTTTTTCGGATCCCATGGAGCAACAACCGTTGGATACGAGCATCGAAGTGAAGCCGTTAGCGACACAACAACCACTTCACACGAGCGAAGTGATACCATTAGCGGCGGCGCAACCACTTCACACGACCGATCTAGACGACGAAGACGAGAACGTCAAACAGCTCGATGAATGTTCTTCTCTCTATCTCTTGATGCAGGTCAATCTCATTCTCTTCTTCATCTTCCCGTAACCCTAAACCCCTAAATTTTTGGCTGATTTTTTTTTCTCAATTGATTCACAGGATTGCGTTGTTCGTTCTAACAGGAATTGGAAAGAATGCCAGAAAGGTGCAATTTAGAATTTTGTAATGCCATGCTTGTGTTTAAACTAGTTATTATTAGTTTTGCATTAAAAAACCATTGTGACTTTATGAGTTGTTGATCTTTTGACAGAAATACAAGCTTTGAGGGAATGCTCGGAAAACAGAAAGAAAAATAAACCAGAAACGTGAATTTATAAGTGGTAAAATTACCCTCAAGAATGTGGTATTGAGATTCTTACTTTTCGTGATTGTTAGAGGTTTTAACAAATTATCTATTTGTTTTTTTTTATTCATAGGAAATTTACACTCATTTTTATTTTTTTTTAATTTCCATGGCAAAAAGTTATAATTTTGTATTCCCATCAAAACTTGATAATGGTTCCCTTGACTCTCTTGCTAATATTAGTATGATATTGTTTTCAAATTTTTCTTCTAAATTAAATGATATCATTTGTAGTATGATATGTACTAACCTTTTTTTTTATTCAAAGACATCCATTATCTTTTAAAATCTAGACTTTCTATGCAAAATAGTCTTTTAAAATTTTAATAAATGTATCCCCTTTTGCTAATTTTTCAGCATAAAAAAAATGTATATAGTAGGCGTGACTTCTAAATTATTACAAATAATTTTGAATGTTTTTATGAAAGCTTATCAATTAGACGATATCTAAGAAGGAGCGACATTCATAGTTTAATCTCTGATTCAAAGGTTTGTGAAAGGAATCAATGCCTCCAATTCATAAATTACAGGAAAATGCATTTAAAAGAACTCATCTTCTGAATCCACGGGGGTAGCCATGTTAACCAACTCCTCTTTAGAGTAGAGTTTCAATATGATGTCTTCCTCGTCACACCGAGGCAGATAAGTTTATGCTCTTAGAAAAAGTAACTACCTATTCCTCAGTTGTGTAAAGAGTTTTGAGGTCTTCGATTATCAAACATTTAGAAGAATTGGTAGTCATTAGTGATTTTGCCTGTCATAAGAATTAATACGGTAAAGTTGTATAACTTATCACTAATAGAATTAAAATTGTTGTTGTAACTGCCAAGCATTCCTATCTTTACAAGTTTATAATTGATCGATTCGTCCAACTGTCTCGCATTCTCCACACAATGTCTCCACATTTCTCCAACTTTCCATGAATAGGAGGTTCTATTACCTGGATATTCTCATCTAACTCTCTAATAATCGTCATCTCCATAAAAAAAAGAAAAAACATAAAGTAAAAAGAAAAAGTTAAATGTATGACTGTGTTTAGATGATAGTTGATAGTGGTGACTTGGAGAACCAACCTTGTAGAGAAAGAGATAGAGAAGATAGGTTGCTAATAAAGGATGCAAAATGTGTATGCTGAGTAAGAAAAGTGGTTGTTATTCCTCTATTTATAAGGTCAAGAGCCTAATCTGAGTAAATATCATTGTCGAAGTCGGATATTTACGAACCTACTTGTGTAAGTGGTAGGATATTTATGAGCCAAATTAAACGCGTTCAAATTATCAATGGCCTACAATGCACGTGTCATTCCGAAACAAAACTCATCACATCGAAGCATCAAATGCCATGCGTGCTTTTCACAGGTGACGCTTGAGGGACTTGTCCAAAGCATATTGTCCGAAGTTATGCTTGAGAGACACCCTCTAAGTTGTATTTAGGGACTTGGCTTGAGAGGCACCCTCAAAGGCCTAAGCTGCACTAGAGGGGCTCGCTTCTTCAAAAAGAGAACGTCATCTACCTAATTTAAATCACTTTGTCTTTCTCAAGCTTCATGCTTGAAGAATGCATGCTTGAGAAACGACTGACTAGGATAATTTTAATTGAACCCTAGCAATTGAACCAAGAAGCTACTTATAAACTTGACAGATCATGGGTCATCCGATCCAATCTCCATCACGCTTAGTATTTTAATAATTCTTTTGATGTCAACCAATTTTAATTTATTCAGTAATGATTTTATGTGTTGTTTCCACGTCTAGTATTTTCAGAATTGGTGAGATGCATGTCCAAATAAATTTTTATTGGAGACTCCATGTCATTTTGATTACTTACATGGCATATCCAGGCAGAAGAGGAAGGAGGAAAAACATGTTATATGTCACTTTAGTGTTTCACAGACCTATCAATCCTACCAAACGAAGTAATTCTCGACTTATCAGATAGAAAGCCATGATAAAAGAGTGAATAGAAAGAAAAGAAAATGATTTTTTTAATTTCAATCCAAACTATACTCAGTGGTCCAAACTTATAACCATAGCTGTTTTGTACCCACCAAAAAATACTACAAGCAAGACATTATTTAACTTTTAACACCTACTACAGTTTCATATTGATGAAGCAGCATTTCCAGGAATGAACTTGATAGAAACACTATTGACACAATGGCGTTCATCCGTTGCAACCTTGAACCCTTCTCCCTTGAATACATGACCTAAATGTCCACCACATGTTGTACAAGTTATCTCAGTCCTTCTACCATCTAGATCAGGCTGAAAATGCCAAATTAACTTCCATCATAACAATTCAATTCCAAATATTCAACTACACATTTTTATGATCCAACACAGACCCCAAATCAATTAATAAATGAATTAAAAGAAATCAGAAGTATCAGTGTCAATTTTGAACACTTACAAACCGATTGATGGCTCCAGAAAAACCCTCGAAGAAAGCAGGCCAACCACAACCAGAATCAAATTTGGTGGTAGACTTGTAAAGCGGAATTCCACAGGCAGCACAATTGTAAATCCCTTCTTCATAAAATTTGTTATACTCTCTAGTACCCTTCAATCTGCACAATGATAAAAATTTCAAGTCTTAAATTGAAATTGACAGTTACAATATTATGATACAAAGAGAAGAAATAGAGAAATTATTACTCAGTTCCTTTCTGGCGGAGGATGCGAAATTGCTCGGGGGAAAGAATTTTCTCCATTCTTCCTCGGATTTCTCGATCGGCGTAGCTGTTGTTGCCATTGATTGACTTCAATTTCGATGTAGAGTGAGTGCAAAAGAGCTTTATAGTGATCAAATCGGAATTTGATGGTAATTAAGAGTTGTGAGCGTTTCCAAGAGAAATTTTTTGAGTGAAAATGAACTTGGACGAAAATTTGGCATAAGGGATAAACAGAGTTATGACCACGTGGCATGAAATAGGTTATTTTCCGTCACCATTTCTTTGACCAAGAAAACATTATTTCTTCCCTTCTACACAACTAACTAAATTACTTACTACTCCTTCTACAATTATAAATAAATATTAATTCATTGAATAGTTAACTTTTATCAATTTTACTCCTTATATATATTCTTTTTAATTTTATCATTATTTTTTTTAATCTCTGTGTAACAACTTTAAACACAATTATTTTGAAACGGAGGAAGTAAAATATAAAAATATTATGTTCAATTTTAATCTACTATTATAAGAAAGTTAATGGTTATTGAAATATCATATCTTCCTATTCTTCTAATTATGCTACATCTTGATTTTTGAGTTAAAATTGGTCTAACCATTTATTTTTCCAACCAATTGTACTCTTAAGTTGGAATTGAAGTACATATTCTCATTTTTCTCGAATAAGTTCAGCTTCAATTATCACTATGCACTATTCCAAATAAATTTGATTTTGTTTCTTCATTTATTATTTCAATCAAACTATATTTATGTCAAATCAATCAAATACTAAATATTGTACAATTGCTTCTTTTCTTTTATCCTATCTTACATAACGGACAGAATTAAAATTCGTCATATTTCTCTTCTCTTCATACTCATCCCTATTTTCTTCAATTACTCATTGTACCCAATACTTCATTGTTTACTATCAATCATTTCAATCTTTCTTTAGATCATTTAGGTAATGATATTATTTTCTATCCTTCTTCATCGTCCAACTCTATTTCTTCAACCACTCAAACCCTAAAAATATATTCTATCTTTCTATGTTATTTTTCTTTAATATAATTGATTTCCATAATTTTTTTCATTTTATATTTCATTAATGCTATATATTTTGTCGATTTCTTTAACTTATGAAACCATAATTTTCTATTACACGGGTGTGCTTTGTTTGTAAATAGTGTTCTTTGTTTACATATTTTCTTTGTTGCGTTCAAAAATGATGTTGAAGATGATAAGGAGCTAGTAGAAGAGGATACTTATAATAACTTGTCTAACTCTATTATTTTACTTGTAAAAAGGTTTGGCAAGATTATGAGAAGACTGAAAGGATGAAAAATGTGTATGTCGAGTAAGAAAAGTGGTTGTTATTCCTCTATTTATAAGGTCAAGAGCCTAATTTGAGTAACTGTCATTATCGAAGTCGGATATTTACGAGCCTACTTGTGTAAGTGGTAGGATATTTATGAGCCAAATTAGACGCGTGCAAATTACTCAATGGCCTACAATGCATGTGTCATTCTGAAACAAAACTCATCATATCGAAGCATCAAATGCCAGGCGTGCTTTTCACGGGTGACGCTTGAGGGACTTGTCCAAAGCATATTGTCTGAAGTTATGCTTGAGATACACCCTTTAAGTTGTACTTAGGGACTTGGCTTGAGAGGCACCCTCCAAGGCCTAAGCTGCACTAGAGGGGCTGACTTCTTCAAAAAGAGAACGTCATCTACCTAACTTAAATCACTTCGTCTTTCTTAAGCTTCATGCTTGAAGAATGCATGCTTGAGAAACGATGGACTGGGATAATTTTAATTGAACCCTAGTAATTGAACCAAGAAGTTACTTATAAACTTGACAGATCATGGATAATCCGATCCAATCTCCATCGCACTTAGTATTTTAATAATTATTTTGAATCCAACCAATTTTAATTTATTCAGTAATGATTTTATGTGTTGTTTCCACCTCTAGTATTTTCAGAAGTGGTGAGATGCATGTCCAAACAAATTTTTATTGGAGACTCCATGTCATTTTGATTACTTACATGGCATATCCAAGCAGCAGAGGAAGGAGGAAAAACATGTTATATGTTACTTTAGTGTTGCACAGACCTATCAATCCTACTAAACAAAGTAATTCTCGAATTATCTGATAGAAGCCATGATAAAAGAGTGAATATAAAGAAAAGAAAAGGATTTTATTAATTTAAGTCCAAACTATACTCAGTGGTTCAAGCTTATAACCATAGCTGTTTTGCACCCACCAAGAAATACTACAAGCAAAACATTA